ACTCATTACACTGTTGTCCCGTCACGTTGTGACCGTCTTATACATATACAAGACTAACACATATCTAGTAAATGCTAGGGCATTCTTGAAGGAACAGGATATTTCTAGAAAACGTGTGGCGTGATACTAGTCACGTGACCTCGCTGACGCAACATTATGTCATACTGACGATGTTGGTAAATCTGTCTTAATAATCGCGTACACACCAATTATTGTTGTATCAAAGAGCTTATAGAAATAGTATTCCAAACATTGCAGTGTGATTGAGCGAAACTTGTCGTCGGGAAACGATATGACAAATATAGTGTGTTTGGAATATTATTAATATAAAATCTTCTAATTCTTGAAATTTTTAAGATACTAGATAAAGAATGTAGTGTTTGAAAATGCAATACGCCCAATTCTAATGTCTTATGGCTAGTTTTATTGTGATTATTCTTCACGGGTTTGTAAAAGGCATGTAAACACCATAACAATTGTGATTCTATCAAATGGCTTATGTCAATAGTGTTCCGAAACGTAACAAAAGATATAGAAAACATCTAAAACTATAATTAGCTATAGAAAAATATCAAATAGCAGTCAGCTGATAAGAACTTTATGGGTGATATAGAAAACATCTAAAACTATAATTAGCTATAGAAAAATATCAAGTAGCAGTCAACTGATAAGAACTTTATGGGTGATATAGAAAACATCTAAAACTATAATTAGCTATAGAAAAATATCAAATAGCAGTCAGCTGATAAAAACTTTGTGGGTGATATAGAAAACATCTAAAACTACACAAAAACAAACAAAATGATAATTAACACTAGAAATCCCACAAAACGATAAATAGCAACAGTAAAATCTCAAATTATATAGAAAAACACTGTTACGTCTGTGTTCGTCGTAACAACTCTAGTCTATCAATTCAAAATGAGAGACGTCTTGCGAAGATAGTCCTCGAGTAACTTTGCCTGAAATTCAAAACAAACAAACGAAAAACAAATTCTATGAACCCCCTTACAAAATGCAATGTTCTTTGTAAGATAAGAGGACTAAAACTGTAAACTATACTCCAGATGGGGTTTAATTGTAGCAAATGAAATAAAATTTTATTACCTAAGAGTGATATCTTAGGTAGTGGTTTAACATTCGTATTCTGTCGAAATACTTGAAATTTATGGCTAGACAATTTCATTAGCAGTGTTAAGAATGGATGACTTGCCATTTTCCTGTGTTGGCATTACCTGTATAAACATTATTAATATTACATTAAATTAATTACAAGTACAATGTCAGAATGGAAAACAAGATAAAAAAGTATAAAGAAAGAAGTATTTTATAACCAAACGTGATATCTTAGTATTGAGGTTAAGTACCTCGTATTAAAACGATTCTGGCACTTCACCATGTCATTACAATTCATATTGCTACATCTAGTCCTACCCTAACTGACAACTCTGCATCTTGAAAAATAGCAGCATAGTTTCCATTGCAAAAGCTTTTATTTTAAGGTCATCATATCCAAAGCAGACCACTCCTCCGTGTTACTTTCCACAGAAATCCAGACGCGCTGCATTGGGTAACTTTATCAGCATGTCTTTGTATGGAATAGCTTGAATACCCATTTAATTCTCCAGCTGCTTCAGGTACACAGCAGTTAAACAGATATCTTATGGAAGCATCCTGGGTACACATGAGTCATGTCACATTTCCAGATGTGGATCTTTATTGATTATGTTATGTACTATTGCTTGGGACATATGGATGACTTTTGCTATTGATCAATGTGTTCGTGGATTCTCACCTTTTACAAAATGCCACACTGAGGTACAGCTTGTTGAAGATCTCTTTCTGGGTGGTCTTGGTGGGCCAAGTTGATCATATTCATTTTTCTCTAATGGCATTAAGTACAAGGGATGTCCTCATCTTCGAAATTCTAAATTACGATCTGAACATATCTTTATTATATGAATGTATGAATATTTTATACCAGAAGGGCTGTTCCACGCTCTGTACAAAAGTAATCAATTTTTGGTGACATAACACTATCCATGAACACCAAACAAAGTCAATTGCAGTTTTGGTGTATTCCATTAGAGCATGACTTTAATCAGCTATGGTTGTCACATAACTTGTTAATTTGCATATAACGCTTTAAGATAACTTACTCAACTCTCTGTATAATAAAGAATGATGAATTTAATATTTTCTAGTTCTAGAAAAAAAGGTAATATGACAGAAGACTATTTGACCATTTAAGGTCATCCCTTATGTAAATAGAAGTAGATAATGACAAAATCTTCTGAAGAAAGGGTTTGGAATCGTCCAAATTTATCATCTTCGGCTTAATTGACGTATGAATATATGAAAACAACTAAAACTACTGTGGATTCAGATATTTTCTGGAGAACTAGCACAATTCTATATCATTTTCAAATTCAATTCCATTATCCCTAACGTTAAGAAGGATGTGAGTAATTTATTTTCGTTTTTAATTATTTAGAGTATTTAATGTATCTAATTTGGTAAAAACATATTACTAAAACCTAATCATTTTTATTAGATTCACTAATAGTGAGTTTCTTAAGTGTAATATATTTTTATAATATAAAGTATGATAATTTAATATTACACACAGCATAAAAGGACATGTTGATAGATGCACAGTTACTAATTTTTGAACTCTTTTGAAAATATTTGAATATCAAATGTTTTATGAAGATTGTTTTTGTATTTTTGACAATGATTTTTTTTTTCATAATTTATCTGTTCCTAATTTTAGTCAGATAGACCAGAGGGAAGGCAGTTAGTCAACAGTACTCATCATCAACTCTTAGGCTGCTTTTGTCTGATCTAATAGTGGGATTTGAACTATCACTCATATAGCACACCCACAGCCAGCGCTTGACTCACAATCTGAGGGTCGCAGATTCGAATCTCCTGCTAGCAAGATATAGAAACTGCCAAAATAAGGATTTGCACCTTCACAGGGATTTCTATTAGCAGTAATATTTATTTGTTCTAAATATTTAAATTTATTTATTATTTATTTATTAAATTTATTTATATTTAAATATAAAAATTTAAATATTTGCAACTTCATAGAGATTTGTTATTTAACACCTTATTTATTTACTATTTATAACTGTTACGTCTCCGTTTGTTAATTGATCTTCCGTAACTTCGTTCCGACAAAACTTTAGCGACACAAGTCCTTACTTAATAAAACTAGTTTATTCTTTCCGAATACAACTTTACGATACACTCAACTTCAACAGTCGCGCTATAACAAACTATAGTTCACGTCTCACGAGCTCTACTTCAACAATACTTTCTCACTGCAGATCAATTACTCACTACCCACACACACACATTATTCCGTTACGTTGTCACCCTCTTATATATATACCAGCCTACCCTATATCTAGTAATCTCCTACTAGATTAACAACTTTAAATTAGAACATGAAAGATTCTGATAGCTTAATTAAATGACCTTCCCGATAGTTCTGGCTAGGTGGTTAAAGCGCTTGACTCGCATTCTGAGGATCTGCAGATTCGAATCCCGGTCCCACCAAACATGCTCGCCCTTTCAGCCGTGGGGGCGTTATAATGTGACGGTCAATCCAACTATTCATTGATAAAGGAGTAGCTCAAGAGTTGGCGGTGGGTGGTGATGACTAGCTCTCTTCCCTCTCGTCTTTCACTGGTAAATTAAGGACGGCTAGTGCAAATAACCCTCGTGTAACTTTGCGCGAAATTCAAAACAATCAATTCAGTGGTTCAACGACAAGTGTGAGGGCTTATAACGAAAAATATCAGTTTCGATATTCTCGGTGCGAAGAGAACAGATAATCCATTGCGTAACTTTGGACTTAACAAGAAAGAAACACATTAGGTTAAATGAAATCAATGATAGTAGACGGTGACGCCCTCTCAGATGAGCTGTGTCACAAAAATGAGCAGACGACTTTTTTTATACTGATTTTGTTAAATTAGGCCTAAGTTTCAGTGACAGTACTGACATTGTAAGAGTTTGTTGCTATTGCCACTATAGTATGGGGTACTATGAGTATGAAATGGTACTGATTGTGTGACAAAATGAAATATAATTGAACATTCAACAGAAATATTATGGTATTGAAATAGCAGGCATGTTAAGGTAGTTTTTGTTTAAAAGTAATTTAAAAAAATTTCTTCTAGAACTTAAACTTTTAAATTTAAGTTTAAGGAAGAGGTTTGATAGACGGCGACGGCCCTTTTATTTTTAAGTATTTAGTTTGTACTTGTAAGTTGTAGACTTTTAAAATACTAGTATTGATAATTTGGTAAGCTGAGTAGTAACTTTATACTATGAATATTAAAATTACATATAGGCCAAAATAATAGGTTTTAGGGTGCCAGTATCTTTATAATGTTTCAAATAATTTTAGTATCGTGATTCCTTGAATTTTGAAACTTAAGAATTATCCTTTTCACCTCACATATCCTCACTTACATTCCTTACTCTTATCTCTTACATTATTCTCTGGACTGAAGATTAAGTTGCCGGATTAGTTAGCCACTTTAAAGTTTGAAAAATGAACATTAATAAAATAAAAGCAACATTAAAGTTGATTATAATATAAATTAACAGAAAATACAGTCTTGGTACCTAATAATTTACATTCTGACATCAAACACATTGTACTTGTAGACTAAATAAATCGTTGTTCAAACACCATGAACTTTGACTGTTGAGGAACATATCAATTTATTCTGAAAACCTTGCAATTAAAACAAGTGTTTTTCACATTTGTTTTTGAAATAATATCTCCAATCTCTCTCTCTTTTTTTTTTTTGGAATATAACATAAAAACTTATAAAACTGGCAAAGTATAGACCTAAGACTTAGTTTACAAGTCAGTTTGTACAATATTACATGAAAAATTATTAACATTAGTTCATTTTCTTTTCCTACAAACAAAATTAGTGTGGAAGACTTCTCAATTGCAAACTTTTGTGATTCAGTCTCTATGACCATGTAATAAGTGCATTGGCAATTTAACATAACATAAAAATGACAAATGGCCCTTCAAGGCTCTCCATGCACACCCACCCTTATGAAAAGTAAAACATTTAAACCCACCCTTTATTAACTATCAATTTTCTTTGTAGGAAGTTATAAATTACCTTCTTAAATAAACTCATATAAAGTACTGACCTCCTCTACTGTTGAAAGCAACTCATCCCAAAAGTAAATTATCATCCTATTAAAGTAACAAAATGCTTTAAATGAAAACAAGCCTGTTTTTTCCAAATCTTAAATTTGTGTCCTGTTGCTCTGCTATCTTCAGAATATAGCACAAAGAAAAGACCTTCATTCTGTTTATCCCCAAGATAATCTTGTAAACTTCGGTAATATCACTTCTTATCTTTCTTTGTTCAAAATAAAATAACTTAGCATAACTTATCTTTGCAAGATAACCCATCTTCAGAATCATCCTAGTAGCACTCCTCTGAACCCTTTCCAATAAGTCAGTATCCCTTCTTAGGTAAAGACCGTTCACACTGTTCCAAATGAGACCTAACTAGTGATTTGTGTAGAGTGATAATTACAGTTTTACCATGTAATCAGTAGGACCATAAAGGTATTAACCTCACTACTAGCAACAGAGCACTTCTTACATGACTTGAGTAACTTATCCTCCATTTTTCTGAGATCATTTTCTACTCATGCAGTTGAGTAGATTTCCATCTTTATAGAAACTTACCAATTATTCCAAGTCATTCTGTAGTATCTCTACATACATATATATTTATATGTGTGTATATATATATATATATATATATATATTATTAGGCCATCCCATCAACTGAACCTTAAAATAAAACAATCAAAGTCAGCCCTTATTATTCACATGTTTATCATAAATACCCTTAAATTAACTGCATCCATCACATCTGAAGATAACCCATTCCAAAGATCAATCACCCTGTTAGAAAAATAAAGGTGTTTTTTTTCATTACCCATTCAAGCCATCTCCAAGGATTATTAATCTCAAACTGGGTTCCTCATCATCAAATTTGAAAGCTGTTTTAGTTGAAGATGACTCCTACCCACCCAAAAATTATATTTGTGGCCCCTAGTCTAACCACTTTCACCATTAAGTATGAAAAAAGATGATGCACAAATATTATGAATTCCCTGAACAATCTTAAACACCTCAATCAGATCCCTCTAACTATTCTTTTTTCAAGAGAAAATTCCAGAGATCTTCTCCTGGCCTCATATGATGACATTTCCATCCCTGGTATCATCCTAGTTGTCCTACACTGAACCCTTTCCAGTAATTCAGTGTCCTTCCTAAGATAAGAAGCTCAAGACTGCACATAATAATCCAAATGTGGTTTAATCAGGCTATACAATAAAATTATAACCTATTTAGACATGTATTCAATATTTCTGTAAATACAACCTAAAATTCTATTTGCCTTGCCTCTAGCAATGGCACATTGTTTGGTTAGCTTAAGAAATTGATCAACTAGAATACCAAGATCCTTTTCTTCCATAACATTGGTAAGGTTATTCTCATCAAAATTATACTCAAAATTCAAATTATGATACGTCACATGCATTACCTTGCACTACTGTAAATAAAAGCCATGTGCCATTTATTTGTCAAACTCACCCAATAATGTTAATTATTTTGTGAGGTAACAGCATCCCCATCACAGCCAGCAACAACCAAAACTTTAATATCATCAACAAATTTAGATGATTTATTGACCATTCATTCATCTATGTCAAAACAAGTAAAGGTCCAAACATTGAGTTCTGAGGTACCCCACTTGTGACATAAATCCAGTTTGACTGAACTCCATTTAGAACAACACTCTGTTTTTATCAATTCAGCCAGTTTTCTGTCCAGTAAGCCAACCTACCTACCCCCCACCTACAGAAAACTTTTTAACAATTCTTTTACTTGGCACTTTGTAAAATGCTTACTGAAAATCCAGATACACAAATCCACACACCCTCACCTACATAATCAGTAACCTTTTGAAAGAATGTCAAAATATTAGTAAGGCTAATATTTATTCTAATGAAATCGTGCTGACTATCGAACAAAATTTTAAACTTTGTTAAATGACGTTGCAAAGCGTTTTTAAAATTTTTTTCCAACAACTGATGTAAGACTAAATGGTCTATAAATACTGGACAGTTTTATCATCTCCCTTGAAAAGAGGAGTAACTTAGCCAACTTCCAATCACCTATCACCTGCTCATTGTTCAAGGACTTATGAAAAGTAATGGTGGCAAGTGGCTTATATATCCAGTCCTTAACCTTCTTCATAATCTCTGTGGATATGGTATCAAGCCCAAAAGCAGCTTTCTCATTCTTTGAACTTCCCAGTTTTTTCTTAACAGCCTCAGAATTAATGCATCATTTTGTTTGATCTTATTTTCATCTAGCAACTTTTTAGGATGAGGAATATTGCTTAAATTTTTGTTAGCAAAATTGAAGAAAAAGTAGAATTTAGTAACTCAATCATTTTATAATCATAAGATATGAGCCTTTCTGTATCATCCCTCAAAGATCCAACTCCCATTTTGCTTACACTTAATGTATGTAAAGAAACCCTTACTATTAATTTTACGATTTTCAGTCAACCTTTTTCCATAGTTTTTTAGATTTACTAATTTCCCATTTGACCAACTACCTTGAAGTTCTATAATTATCTAAATCTCTCATCATAACAGCTAGTTTAAACTTCTTAAATTCTTAATGCTTCTCTTTAATTTTATCCTTGTAGCTACTCTTTTTTTTTTCTCTGTAAGGAATAGATCTATCTTGAATGTTTAAGAATTGATTTTCAAAGTTTACACTTTTGATCAGTATCTTCATTTGATTCAGTTGACCAAGTCACAATAGATAATTCTTGTCTCATCCCTTCAAGATTTGGCTTTTGAAGTCTGGAATCATAATCTCATTATTTTTTGTCTCCATATGTAGCAAAAGAAAGCTAATTGAACAATGATAATTTGCACCCAGGATTTCCCTAATCTCCACCCTTTCTTCCAGTCACTCCAACCCAGATTGTCTCCTTTGTTCTGTATGGTCTGTTCATTATTATTTCACTCTTACTGCCCTTTTTTAAAACACTTGTCAATATCTTTTCTTGGCATAGGATTTCATTTCCCCTAGTAAACTTCCACTTTGCTTGGTTGGATTATACTTCACATTTGGCTAGTTTCTTCTTCTATGAGTGATAACCTTTTCTCTTATTTTTCATGTCCCTTCCCATTATGTTTATCATCTCCTGGCTTTTCTTGCCTCTAGCTATTCATGTCCTCTGTATGAGATATTGCTGGTGGGAATATTAACAACTTTTAATACATTAGTGTCCCATTATTTACAACACAGGGAGGTTTCACTTACCCTGGATTTTGTCTCCCTCCAGTTGTCATTCTCTACTGTTCTTAATGGGTGTGATGGTGGATTTTTTA